TGGCCTGGCAGCCACTTTCTAAGCCTGAACACGGTCACGTTATAGAGGGGGTGACATCACAACTGCCTCAACACTCGACCACCAGCTAACTGTTAGTATTTTGGTGTCCGCTATGATGGAGGAAGGAAAAACATCTGCCATTGCATAAACATCCTGTAAAAAAAGAGTCCCTGCAGAACGAGACACCCTATGGTCCCATATTGGGCAGTTCCTCTCTCCCACCACCCCTCCGTTCCAGCTCTGTAGCCTCTATAAGACTGCTTGGCTGTGGTAACATCGCCCGACCCCCTACGTCATTGCTGAGACCTGTGGTGATGCAGGAGTTGGATGAAGACTTCATGGCACAAGGTGGGGGGACACACAGGCATTTGACACTCCCAGAAATGTTAAATGCCCAAGAGACTGGTTGAGGCTGTACTGCTGGAATGGGGAGAACTAGGACAAATGGGCTACTGGAGTGTTGGGAATAGTTTCTTCGATTACAGGGATCTGCTTTAGCTACGTTTTTAGTGCAAGGACACTTTAAATGGTTCTGCTCCAACTGTTGCATAGTGATTCTCCTCTCCATGTAGGTTCTATGTTACAAATAATAATAATTGAAGCCTGCCAGGTAATCACTTTGGCCATGAAGGAACAGGTACCCATATATTTGGTCAGGTAAGGGTTAAGGGTTTTGGATTACGTGATGCTTGCCATGCAGTTCTTATATCCTGCCATTTCTCCCATGTATTATTTTCAGATCCCCCATGGCCCCCTCCATCTCTTCCACACGTGTGCACTCGTACAATGGTCCTCACCATGGACCTTGTCTGCACACCTGGCCCCGACAGCTGCTTCCACCATTTCATCGTCCCTCTTCCCCGTACATTGTCGTTGAGAAAGCTGTTAAAGGATAAACACGTGTTTCCATTTTGCATAACGCTTGCAAAGTGCCGTACGGCACAAAGGCCTGGAGTTTCCAGAACAGGAATTCCTCGCTAATTGGCCGTCTCACGATGGCAGCATGAGCAAGGATGACTCGGCTTGTAACATTAACGAGCGACAAATTAAACATGTCATAAACCGCCGTCGTTCCACCCTCGGCGAGTGTCTAGATGCCGCTGCTGCAGGGTGGACTGCTATGGTGGCAGAGAACCGTGACTTCCTGTAAGACTGCCAGGATCCATTGGGGTTATAGAGATTAAAACAAATTGATGGAATGGAAAATTATGTGTGAACAGCAGCCAATTTGAATGCACTCGTCAATTGGAATGGAAAATGGTCCAATTTGATGCTATTTTTACAACGGAGATGAACCAATGCCAGGTGTCGGATAGCCAATGGATTATTTGTCCCCGGCTACTGAACATTTTTCTTTGTCAGCTGAATTACTTGTTCCATGTCTCTTTAACATGATCCTTTGCATTGCCCATGTAGGGTAAAGAAAGAGGGACACTTAAAGTGACATTAAACCCCCAGATTTTTTAACATAAACCAATACTGTAATGTGTACCTTACTGTTATCCATGGTTGTTTCCCTTCTCTTTGCTGCTCTTCCTTTTAAATCCTCATGTCTTCTCATGCTTGGGGAGAACTTCCCTTTTCAGCTCAGGGCCTCTTCCTGTAGTGCTGGCTCAGGTTACAAGGCTATACAAATGGATACACAGACACCGTGTATCCATTCCTGAGACAAGGCAGTCTGCTGCAAAACAGAAGTTGTCCCCAAGCATGAGCAGATTTAAAAGGAAGAGCAGCAAAGAGAAGGGAAACAACCATGGATTACAGTACGGCGCACATTACAGTATTGTTTTATGTTAAAAAAATCTGAGGGTTTAATGTCGCTTTAAAGCCCAACTTGGTTTGGCTGGTCACGTGATGTTAATGGTCCTCTTCGATCTTCTAGCTGTTGTTAGCTCTTCTTAATGCAGAGAGTGGCATAAGATTAGACCTGCTCTTTTCATCATTACACTGTGAGTGCAGAGAGCCATGGTGACACCCCTCAGGGGCGTGTCCATGACGCACTGCACTCACAGTATGTCTTCAGTTTTTTGCACTGAATGGCGTGTCCCTCAACCCAGATAACTGAGGACAACTAGTGGCGAAAAGAAATACTGGGTGACAACACTTGGTGGAGCGGAGGAGTGGCTGCCTGGCAATACTTTTTTCCGAAGAAAAGAATATGGCTCAGAATTGGCTTTTAACTCATCTCCAGCAGCATATTACTTCCTTTACCCGAGCTCCCCAGCTTCTCTGGCTGCTGGGACTGAGGAAAGTAAGCCATGTATAGCACTTTCCCTCTGGTGGCTGAACAGCGTGGCGGTTCACCAAAGGAAAGGTGGACCGGGCTCTTAAAAACCTACTGGCTCCTGAATTCCATATTGATTTGCCCACGCCTGATCTAAGAGGCCTGGGGAACTGACGTGCAGGCAGAGCTAGTCAGTTGGCATGGCACCCTGACCTGAAGTCCTCTTCTCCACCTCATGTTCCAGCGTATGGTCATTGTTAGAAGATGCAGCAAAGCAGAACCTCTGTGTAGCACCGTAAAGCAGGATGCGGGGCCTGGATTTTTAATGGTCTAATATGGCTGCCCCCATAGATAAACGTAACTACAAATTATGCATAGAATCACATTTTTTAATATTTAACACATTAATAATATTTATATGAAGCCATGATGGCAGATCTCTTTTAACCCACAACCTTTTGCAGGAGAGAGGAACCTTGTGCTCATTTTTACGTTTCGTGGAATCGGGCACAGGCCAATGAAAATGCGTTTCTACTGAGACACCTAATAATGATCATGGCTGCAGGCCAGTGAGCAGTCCTCTCGCAGAAACGCAGTGTTTGCCTTCTGCCCCGCAGCTGTATTGTATCTCGCCTGTCACCATGTCAAAACCAAAGCCGTTCACCAGGGAATAAAGTATGCGCCGTGCAGCTTGCCCGACCCCCGGAATGAAGACCCGGATCCTTCGGAACTTTCCCACAGAACTCGCAGAGTGAGCGTTGAGGCCTTTCGTGATGGACGAGGAATTTTCTGAGTAAACACTAGAAAATTCACACCAAATTCCGTCAGCAGGAGCCGGGCGCCCATTATTCTCCGGAGGAGCTGAGCTGTTGATAAATTGGTCCGACCCTGCACTGTATTGTGCCAAGTACGGGGTCCCTGCATTGCGGTATTCCTTAGAAACATATCTAGTAGTTAAAGTGGAATAAACCCCGAACATGTCACAATACATAATACAACAGTGATCACTTTTCATAAAGGCTCCGCCTTTCATAGTTGAAAATCACCCCCTGAGCTCCAGTTAGTGACTGCCTAGGCTGAGATGATGTCATCAGTCTGCTGCAGGCAGGAGGAAGCATTTCCTCAGTCTCCCCTTGCCCAGTGATCAGTCTGCTGCAGGCAGGAGGAAGCATTTCCTCAGTCTCCCCTTGCCCAGTGATCAGTCTGCTGCAGGCAGGAGGAAGCATTTCCTCAGTCACCTCTCCCCCAGTGATCAGTCAAAAGACAAAATGCATAAAGATAAGTGTGGTTAACATGTATGGCTTAATTGAGATGCTTAAATACCTTAAGATCACACAAGTATTTAAGGTATCGCCGCATCTCACTTAAGCCATACATGTTAACCACACTTATCTTTATGCATTTTGTCTTTTGACTTGCTAATACCTGTTTTGATTTGAATTATGGTGGGAGTATGACATCATGATGACATCACGGGGTCACTGCAGGCTCTGTGATAGGTCTGCTCACAAGATGTGGTGTGTATATATAACTTGTGTTCTTTTCACTTGCATTCTCACTTGTTCTAACTGATGAAGGGGATCCTGTGTGACCCCGAAACGTCGCACTTAGTGTGCTATGCTAATTTTTTGCATGTATGTCAATAAATGCAAAAAAATAGACGTATTCTACCTGCTGTTGGAGTGCCGGTGTCCACATTCTTTTGCATCACTGTGGCGATGACCATTGACTACTGAGCACCCATGTTATCTTGATGGATGAGCGGTCAGGAGTGCAATGGGTACATGGACTGTAGCAGGATTTTTTAGGCGCCAACTCCATGGACAACAACTAGAAAAAACCTCAAACGTTGGGCACCAGCTGTAAATTTTAAGGAGCCATGGTGACCTGGCTCCTAGAATTTGTCCAGCCCTGGTTTAAAGCATGGGTAGGCAACCAAGGCACTCCATCTGTTGTGGAATGTCCCATTGCAAGACTCATTGGAGTGAGACATTGCAAGACTCGCAGCTAGAGGAATAGCTCGCAGAGGCATGATGGGATTTGCATTCCATCAGTGCAAATGCTTCCTTATTGGCCACTGAGCTCCATGCATTGGGGATCCTGGGAGGCGGAGGCAGTAGATTAAGCCCTGCCTTGAAACTTAAGTGCCAACTGGAGTGCAAAGGTTGCTTAACCCTAGTTTAAAGAAACTTTGTCACCTATGCAGGGTAGAGTGACATTGTCTCTGCAAAGGGCATCCCCGAACCTCATATACTCGCCTTATCAGAGCTTGCTCAATGCTTCTTCCTCCTCCTCCACAGCTGGCCAATTGCTAGGCCCGAGCACTGTCGCATGACTGGGGGAGTGATGACACCGCTCCCTCTGGACGCCGACCTCTGATTTCAGTGCTGGCTGTGATGATGCAAGAAGCTTTGAGGGATGATGGATAAGGTGAGTAGAGGGGGTCTGTGGGCCCTTTGGGGAGACACTGTCACTTTGCATTGCATGGGGAAGGTGACCGGGCCTCTTTACGTTCCTTTTTGGCATCTCTCTAAAATTCTTTTTCTTTTCACCATCTCCCAATACTGAGAATCAGATTCTGCAGCCATGTGTGCCGCCATGCTGATCCAGCAACCGTTATCTACTCTTGACGCTTCGGATCTCCTAATTACGTTGCTTTTTTTCTTTTATTGCGGATGTCATCTCTGCTCTGATTACATTATCCATTGACTGTACTATTAGGTTCAGCTTCATTGGTGATCTTTTAATTACAGTTATTTTCTGTCTTGCTGTCTAGACGTACTCCGGCTTGTTCTGCGTGGTGATCAACCCCTACAAGAACCTCCCCATCTACTCGGAGAATATCATCGAGATGTACCGCGGCAAGAAACGCCATGAGATGCCGCCACACATCTACGCCATATCGGAGTCCGCCTACCGCTGCATGCTGCAAGGTGAGCCGGGGGGATGATATGTTACACGCATGTTCCCGATTAAACTTCCTTTATATGAACATGGTAAATACAATTGTCTCTTGCTGTGTAGATGGTGTCCAGGTGACGCAAAGGAAGTTTGGGAGTCGATGGCTTGACCACATTGCAGTGCACATGGTTCCTTTTTGGCAACTGATCTCCATGCTTTGGGGATCCTTGAAGGGGGGGCAGTAGATTAAGCCCTGACTTGGAGCTCAAGATGATAATTTCATAGTAAGTGCCACCAGATTGGGGGTCTGCTTAAAGGAGACCTATGAGGTGAGTGAAATTAGACCACCGAGGCCCGGGAAAGAAGAGGCTGCAGGGATCGGTCTAGCAGCAGGACGGAGGATTGGGTGAGTAAATCTTCATTTGAGCCACCCAGACAAAAGGCGCAATTAACCCTTTCAGTGTGGGGCACTGCAAGGGTAAGTTTTTTTTTTTTTGTTGTTTTTGGAATTAGATATCATTTAGAGAGGAACTCCACGAAAATCACAAAGTAAGATATTGCAGCTTATCAGACCTTAGATGTGACGGCTGCATTGCTTTTCTCCAGGCTAAGAACATTTTCAGCAAGTGCAGAAAATGCTTTTTGATCCCGCCAGGAATGCAGCATCCTTGTCATGTCACTTCCCGAGAGCTGAATTGGAATCTCAGCGTTATCTTCCTTCTGTAAACTGGAAATCCTACCCATGTAATGGAGAAGGAGACCTTTTAACAGTCCACCCTGGGTGACCAACCTAACCCCCTCCATAGATACAGTGGAGAAGTGAGCGTTGTCACTCAAGGACAGGAAGTGTGTTTTTAATGGCAGGATCACCAGGTGAAAATGAAAAAAAGAAAACCAATGCAGCGGCCACATCTGAGGACCGGTAGGCTGCAATATATGACATTTGTTTTTGGGTTTGGATACACTTCGGTCTTCTGGTGTAAGCAGACAACTCTTGTGAGGTCGCTTTAATTGCCTACTTAAAATACCGATCTGTCTGTAATGCGTATCCTGGTTTGTGTTACTTCCCGAGGTCTGGTCCTTGTCCCTGGAACATCATTCAGAGTTAGCACGCCAGACAGTTTACAGAGAGCCGCCAGTGTTTATGGGACGTGGATGTGTAGCTTTCCCTTTCTGTAAACAGCTTTTAGTTTTCTGGAACGAGAGACGTCCAACATCTGCGGTTTTATGTTGCCCTCATTTGTACGTTCGGAAGATAATTCAGGAAACCGGCTGCTGAAGTGTGTGTGTGTGTGTGTGTGTGTGTGTGTCATGAGGAGTATACAGAGGTGTGTGATGAAGAGGGGTCTCCGCTCGCTCTCCGATGAAGCTGGAGGAGACCGATTTTGTATTGTACACTTTGCAGCAATTTCGTAAAGTATTAAAGTTGAGCAAAACGTAATAAATATACAGAATAAACATTTCAGTTGTTTCAAATCTGAAGTTTAATTATATTTTCACCTGGTGATCCTGCCATTAACACACTTCCTGTCCTAGGGTGACCACGCTCACTTATACACTGTGTCTATGGAGGGAGCCATGGATGGTCACCCAGGCTGGACTCCATCTCCGTTACATGGGGGTGATAGGATTACAAGTAGGGATGCGCCGTTTTTTTTTCACTCGCCGATGCCAAATATCGATACCGGAAGTCCCATTAAGGAAGCCTCCTGATTAGCCGGGAAGCCGCCTCCATGCTCCCTGGTCACCAGATGACGAGGAAGCATGGAGCCGGCTTTCTGGCCAGTCAGGAAGCCGTGGGGCGGTAATGACTTGCCGCCTGGCTTCTTCATTGGCCGGCTTCCCGATCAATCCGGAAGCTGGGTGCTTGTACTTGCCCAAACGCTACTGATACTGGAGTCATTACACGGTGCCCGGCTTCCTGATTGGCCGGGCAGCAGGCACTTCCTGTTATGGGGTGACAACACCCTGTCTCCCAAATGCTCTCCTGTGTTGTCACCCTGTCACACGGGCTTTTGATGGAGATACAAGTTTCCATTTAAACCTGTTACGCAGACATGGCCCACTGTTGTCACCATCCAGTAACCCATCCTACGGACTGCCATGCAGCCATCGCTGGAGTGTCTGTAGACAGGAAGAGGCTGCTGGAGATTAGCGGCACTGAGATGTAACAATGGATGAATGAAAGGTGACCACAAGAACAGTGTTCATGACACACAGTGCTTTGGTGGATTAAATGTCATCCAGTCAGGGTTTAAGTCTGTAAAGAGTTAACGCTGGCCTTTGCCATGGGAGTGGGAGGCAGTTTGGAGGCTGTTAGACCTCCATTCATCACCGGGTGACTACAGGAACCCAGACGCGCTATAATGGCCATTTCCGCGTGACGTGATTTGGCCTTTTTCACAGCTCGCCCCTTTCCTGGAGTGCAGCCAGCCAGATTCTAATCAAAACCCGAGGAGAATAGAGCGCTGAGAGGTTACCAGCGCTGCCCACTGGATGGTCGCTGGGTTCAGCCCATTGACCGGCGAAGAGGCTCAGCAGACGGGCAGTGCGAGGTCACACACGGCCAGACCCAAGCATTTGCCCCCTCCGCCAGCCTCCTGACCACTTCCCTTCACTTCCTTCCAGACTCCCCCACCTCGCAGTGATTGTAATGTCTGGCGGTGTTTGGCAGCCATTGTCTTCAGGCCGCGCGACCTGGCTTAACCCTTCCTGCGCCTAGCCAGGAACATCTACACCGCTGAGGAATACACTGTACCTTCAATGGGCAAGCTGCACGGAGAATGTGCTACAAATACCGACCGGTGCTTCAGATCTACTTGTGCTCTCTCCCAAAAATTATTTTTGGGAGTCTTAATTGCAATTGAAGACTCCGGAAGCTGAACTCCGGCCTTCCCTTCAGTCTTGCACGGTTGTACCGGCTCCTCTTCCAGACGGAAGTTGCTTCCTCTGATTTCACTGCACACTGTGTGCTCTGAAGTGAGTTTTGAACGATCTCTGCTCATGAACGGGTTAGTTATCGGAGGACCGGTTCTGTGAATTCCACATCGCTGAGCTGCTGGTACAGACCAGCTTCTCCTCCGGACGGTGGTGGTGTCTCACATCGCGTCTTGTAATCCGGAATATGACCATAATCCTCTTTTTAAGGCCAACTCCATCCTGACTTTTGGTACTTAGTATGACTTATTACTGCATATGTCCCCCGTTGCTCATCCATGACCGTAAGCCAAGAAATGAGGACACAGCCAGGAGCTCACGTAGAGTCTCGCGTGTTGAAGGATTCAGGTTACCGCACACGATGGAGGAGCCCGTTTTGTGTGGCTGGGGCCATGTTTTTAGGACTATGGGAATTTTTGTTCACCTTTTGTGTATTTTGTTTAAGACAATGTGAGTTTTACTCATATAGGACAAAACAACCAGTTCTTCTTTTTAAAGTTGATCGAAGCAGATATTGTCCGCATACAAGAGTCATATGTGAGACTTGGAGCTTCCTTTAATAAAGACCAGTCACTACTCCTTGTGCAGGGTGGCTGGTCCCCCCCTTCCTGTAATAAAGACCGCTCACTGCCGCTCTCTCCCCTTGTGCAGGGTGACTGGTCGCCCCCTCCTGTAATAAAGACCGCTCACTGCTGCTCTCTTTCCACGTGCAGGGTGACTGGTCTTGCCTCCGCCCCCTCCTGTAGTTTCCTGTAGTAGGTGGGGCCTGCTGGGTCCCTCCCACTGCTCTGCTGTCTGCACAGGCTATATACAGCACAGTGATGATGTCACTAGTACCTTTTTTAAAAGATCATATCTGGGTCTTTATCCTTTTGTGGCTAGTAAGAAAATATTTAAAATAAAGTTTCTCTTTCATGAATTGATGGACTCAGCGAAGAGCAGTAAATCTTGTACCATTGGGTTATAATGTCACCTGCAGGAGTTGGACACTAGGCACAAAACAAACAAAAAAAACAGCCTAGGGTTGGCCTCCGCTACCGATCTTCGCTGTGTCCTTCAATGAACGCAGGGCAAAGGATTTTACGCTGAGTACAAAAATCAAAAAAAAATTCTGCCTGTAATGGAGCTCCAAAGCCTGGTTCCCTCCCTCTGGCCACCATGAGCAATGGAAATATCCATGTGACGGCTGTGTTTGGCCCATCTCTGTTTTTTAGGGGCACGGAGAGTGATCTGGTGGAATGACATAGTAGGTAGATCATTAAGTAGCTATTCTTTCTCCTGGAGAATCTCTTTCGAATTGCCTCCTGGTTTTTGCATTGGACGGATCGGTTCCAGAACCTTTTTTTTATTATTAATTTGTCCATGCTTGAGTTATGCCATGACAGAAGGAAAGAGAAGGGGCCCATCCAAGTTAAAAGCTCTGCAGAATGAGAACCAAATGTGTCCAAATGTTTTGATATCCTTCCAACCTGCTTGTGCAGATCCAAAGCAGCTTTCCAAACAAAAGCCTTCCTGGCATCTTTTTGAAGTCCTCGCCCCCACTGAACGATAAGACTCCGGTGCTACATGGAAGCGTTACAGCTTTATGATCGATCGCCAGTCTGCTTCAGCTTTATGAAGCCGTGTTGTCTCTCGATCCGTGGAGAGAGAATGATATGGATTCTGGAATGATCTTAAATACCTGCCTGGCTTCTATTACCGTGATGGACAGGCCTCATTTATAATTGGAAATTATTGGTACAAATATCTACCTCCCTGTAGTTTTTGCTTAAAGTGACATTAAACCCTCAGATTTTTTTAACATAAACCAATACTGAAATGTGCGCCTTACTGTAATCCATGGTGGTTTCCCTTCTCTTTGCTGCTCTTCCTTTTAAAGCTGTATCTGTTCTCATGCTTGGGGAGAACTTCTGTTTTGCAGCAGACTGCCTTGTCTCAGGAATGGATATATGGTGTCTGTGTATACGTTTGTATAGGCTTGTAACCTGAGCCAGCACTACAGGAAGAGGGCCTGAGCTGCAAAGGGACATTCTCCCCAAGCATGAGAACAGATACAGCTTTAAAAGGAAGAGCAGCAAAGAGAAGGGAAACCACC